AGGGGGAGGGGCGGGGGATGGCAATTCAGGCCCCAGCTTAAGGTACTTCACCCTGGTACTCCCTTCCAGCAAACAGTCCTAGTTTCTGTACTTCCTTGCTCTCCCTGGATCTGATTGAGCCCCTCTTGCAGCTGTTGCCTGTCTCGAATGTGGTGAGCGTAATGGTATGTATTGGGGTCACCTGAGTCCAAGACCTGGTTGTCAAGAGTGTCAACATGGGGAGCAGTCCTAAGCCCTCAGAAGTACCCTTAGTTGAGCTGGCAGGTGATGTGGTATGGCTTCAGGGCCTGATCAGTCCAGGTGTGAGATCCTAAACTGGATTACTGGTTTCTATCCTTGGGCAAATCAACTAACCACCATAAGCTTCAGTCTCATTTATAATTGGGGATAATAATCCTACCTTAGAAGGTTGTTGTGGGGATTACAGAACATGCATATAAAGTAATTTGGTGTGGTGCCTGCTCATGTGGTCAGCACTCCATATTTCTTAGCATTCATTATGATCTTTGGCTTTCATCCTTTGTGGAGATCTATACGTGTTTATCTGCAGGTGCTCACAGTCCTGTGCAATGTTGCAGAGAAGGGTCCTGCTTACTGCCAGCAGCTGTGGCCAGGGCCCCTGCTCTCCTCCTTGTTGCACATACTAGCCTTCTCTGACACTGAAGTAGTAGCTCAGAGTTTGGAGCTGCTGCAGCTGCTGTTCCTGTATCAGCCAGAGGTAGGTGGTTTCTGGCCCTGGTCCCCAACCACCTGTTTTGAAGCCTCACCTTGGCCCTCTTCCCTTCCAGTCCTAACTATAGTTACTTCTCCGGACCTGGCTAGCCTATATAGGCTCTAGGTCAGAACCCTCATGATCTTGCTGGGAATACACCCTCTTCTAAAAAGCCATTAGGCTGTGGGAATTGAGTCTTAGGACTCTGGTGTTGAATTATTCTCTTCCCTGCTCCCAGGCTGTTCAGGCCTTCCTGCAGCAATCAGGGCTGCAGGCCCTGGAAAGACATCAGGAGGAGGCCCAGCTCCAGGATCGTGTGTATGCACTCCGGCAGACAGCTCTTCACCGGTGACCTGGTTTCTCAGGGTCACTCATTCTCCTTCTGTCCCCCTCAGCTTCTTTGCCCACTTTCTCTTAGGAGGAGACAGTGGAGCCTTTGGAGATTTAGGAACATAAAGAGGGCTCATGCTCTCTGCTCCCACACCTAAGCTAAGACCTTTGGGCTCCAGCTCCTCTTTCATCCAGCACTGTCTAGGCAAGAGAACCACAGGAGACTCAGTGTGGCGTACTTATTCTGGGGCCCTGGAATTCCCCTCCCTCCTTTATTTTTGTTTCAGCTGCTGATAGTTTTTGGTGAGGTAGAATAAAGTTTCATTTTGATATTAAACCACTTCGCCTCATTGGTTGTACAATAAGGATAGAAGGTAGAATGAGGACAAGAACACACGGAAAGCATTTTACAGCACAAGCTTTATAAGGAATGGGGGAGTATATTTTTCCACATTCTACTGAGTCCAGCAGAGCCCAGATTCTAGGGCTGTTGCTCTTAATCCTCAGTGTAGGCTTCAGGTTTTGCCACTTAGCACATTCTCCAGGGTTCTGGTTACCTGATCAGCACTGAAGTTGTTCAAAGAGACATTCTTCTCTTGGCCAAATGCTGAGGAGAGAGGGAGGTGACTAAGTATCTACTCTGCACTATGGAGACTACCAAAATATAATAAAAGTCTTTGTCTTTATCTTACAGTCTTGTTAAAATGAAAAAGGTAGTAAAGAGATATGATCAAAGTGGATTTTGTATGCCTAGAATTAATCCAGTGGGTCTCAAACACATCTAAGAAGCCAAATGGCATTTTGAATGATTCTGGGTGGCCATAATGAGAAGGAAGGTGTTTCAGGGAGGCTTTAAGGAACACTGTAGGCTTTATTATTAGCCACTGTGAGAAGCATATTCTATGGGCTTAGCTGTTGTTGAGTGCCCATTCTCTGGGCTCCGGTAGGTCACCTAGCATAATACACTTATTACTTGTGTCTGTCTCCCCCTGTAGCCTACTGGCTTTTGGAAGAACCTTTTTTCCTCCTCCAATTCTTAGTGCATGGCTTACTACCGTCCACTGTTAGAACCAGTTGGCTTCAGGTGTAACTCTCCCCCACTCCACATTCATAAGACACCATGTAGTTAAAACTCATAATTAAAATTAAAGAGGTATGATAAAAGTAGATTTTGTATGCCTACAATTAATCTAGTGGGTCTCAAAACACATCTAGGGTGCCAAATAGCATTTGGATTCAGTATGTATAAGTATTTACTGCATACTTACAATGTGTTAGGTAACAAGAAAATTTCAGGTTGAGAGGACTCCCTGAGCTCAGGGGTTCAAGACCAGCCTGAGCAACATGGTGGGACCTTGTCTCTACAATAAACCAAAAAATTAGCCAGGCATGGTGGTGCATGCCTTGTGGTTCCAGCTACTTGGAAGGATCACCTGAGCCCAGCAAGTCAAGGCTGCGGTGGCCGTGAGCATGCCACTGCACTCCAGCCTGGGTGACAGAGTAAGACTCCAACTCAAAAAAAAAAACCAAAAAACAAAATTCAGATTGCAATGAATTGGAATAGGGTAGTATAACAAAAATGAGCTAGAGGCAGTGTTACATAATTGGTCAAGGAATGCCCTTCTGAGGTGGTAACATATAATTCAGACCAAATTAATAATCTGAATGAGCTGGCCATGGCAGTCTGGGAGAGAGATAGGGAAACAAATGTAAAGTCTTAATCCCACTATCGCCTAGCTGCATTACTTTAGCTATGTTCCATAAAGTTTTGATTCCGTTTTCACTCTCTAAGAAAAATACACCCCCCTCATGATGAATGAAAATTAAATGAGAGTTAAGGCAGGGAAGCACTCAGCACAGGGCATAGTATTAAGTGCGCACCATTACTGGAAATCTCACTAAGTGGAATGACACTGGGTACACGTTATTAGGAAGGTTGTACACTGATGGGAATAGACTAGCTTCTCTCTCATCTGAAGTTCGTTTGTCAATCTCCAACTGATGTTGCCCAAGTACAATGCATCATATAATCCTGCGAATATGTTTTTCTTCATGGCAATAAGGTCAACGGCAAGCCTGAAGTCTGCGTTCTAGTCTCTCCACGGGTTTCTGCACGACTCTGGGCGGCCCCTTCTCGAACTCTTTGTTCCCCCACTGGAATCCCAGACCCCTGGTGTCCCGCGCTCACCGTAGCGGACCCAGAGCTTGGGCTGCACGTCCGAGCATTCGCGGATTAGGATGGGCAGGTCGGGGTTCGCTTTCTTCAATTCCACATAGCGTTTCTCAATGAAGTCCCTGCGGGGCCGGGGAGAGCGCCGCGCGTACTGTGGACACAGGTTTACCCACGCACCTGGGAGCTCGAGGTCGTGACCTCTGCGTCCCGAAACCGCCCGCCTCCCCACGCCGCTCCTCACCTGACACCCTGGCTGGCGGCCGAGCGCTGGCATAAGTGGATGCGAATCTCACGCAGACCCAGCTTCGCCGCGACTCCACGACTCGCCGCTGTCGCCGCCATTCCCGCTAGTACCGAAGCCCCCAGTCCCAAGCCTTCCGGCCAGGTACTGCGGCCTGACCATTAGCGAGCCCACCCATAGGCTGGATGGCGCAGGGGGCGGGGTAAAGCTTATCCAATGAAGTAAACGTACTGTAGAGCCGCTGAGGTCTTCCAGTTTCCATGCGCGCAGCGTGGGGCCGAGGGGCGGGATGGAAAAACGGAAGGTCCGGGACGCAAAGGCTTGTGGGTTGCTTTCTGAGGTGCATGCTGGGAAAGGGTAGACGCTGCGGTGTTGTTGTTGGAGACTCGGTTTCTGGTGGCGTTGAAAGACCGCGGACAAAATGCCGGAGCGAGATAGTAAGGATCGGGTCACCCCCACTTTCTTTCCTCTGGGATTTCGGGCACTTGGCGCGTTATTTTAGCTTCAGAGTGTAAGCCGGATTTGTGTGTGTTCCTGTGTGAGACGCTTGGAGTCCAGCGAAGCCGCTGGGCCCCAAGTGAGGCTGGACATCTTCAGACTGGTCCCCCAAGCCTCATTCCTGCCCAAAGTGACGACGGGCGGCTTCTGTTGGTGAACCCCTTTCCCTTACCCCGTCCCTTTACTTTTTTTTTTTTGAGTTGGAGTCTCACTCTGTCACCCAGACTGGAGTGCAGTGG